CTTTTTACTTTCTATGTGTTTGTTTTGTATGATCGGCTGTGGTATTTGGGAGAGTCTCGTGGGCCGTTATTTTCAAGTGTATCTACCTTGGGACTCGTTAGTGCCTAGCGAGCCTATGGGAGGAGCCACAGTGATCGCTTTACTTGTGTTCTTTTCTTATGCTATCGTATTGAACACAGTAGTGCCAATCAGTTTATATGTGAGTGTTGAAGTTATCAGATTTGTTCAATCATTTTTGATCAATTGGGATGAAGAAATGTACCATGCACCTACAAATACACATGCTAAAGCAAGAACTACTACATTAAACGAAGAATTGGGACAAATAGAATATATATTTTCCGATAAAACCGGAACACTGACACAGAATATCATGACTTTTAACAAGTGTTCTGTGGCAGGAAAATGTTATGGGGATGTTATCGACGAAGTTACTGGGGAAGTCGTCGATTCAAGTGAGGTGAGTCTGTTTACCTTTTTATCCATAACCAGACTCGATGCGGATGATGGGGTATGTTATTACCAGTTTTTTGTATAACTGTATAACAAAGTCGTCTTTTTTCTAGCTTGTAAATGTAAAGTTTTAAGTTAATTTCTATTATCGTTTTAATAACACATATTGTGATTTATAATTTTAATTGCATCAATGTTGTTTGAATTTTTTTATGATGTATATATTTTATATATCAAGAAATATAAATAATTTATTGTTTTAGAACGACAAGTTTATTTTTTAAAAAAAAATTTGTTCAAATATAAATTTTTTGTTTTGTATATTTGAATCATAAATTATATTTAATAAATTTAAATCATCTGACATTGAAATATCTTCATATCAGTTTCATCTCATACTTGTTATCAAGAAAGAATATAATTATTTAAAATTTTTAAATTATGAAATAAAATAATATTTAAAGTTTTATTAAAAATAAAATTTGTATTCATTTTGTCTATTAATGTAATTGTTATATAAATAATAGATAAATACTAAATAAATATTATATTTAGTTATGTCTTCTTGATAACAAAATACACAAACAATAAAATCATTTCACAGTTTGGCCATATTTTGCATAAGTTTTCATGTACATCACTTAGCATGTGTGTGCTGCATGTAGACGAACAAAGCTGCCCGAACACCTACGATGCGATGGAAAAATGGACAAGAATTTGTTCAAGTTTATACATCTATAACTGGTCCAAACGTACGTCTACTGGAACAAGTGGACAGGATATCCAATATAATTGGAGAGCCAGGCACCAATGGCAGTCCGATGGTTCCACATAAACTTTCTGTACGCATGTTAATAATTAACACATTCTTCAATAATCAAAAAAAGTTTTGTGTATTACTCAGCTTATCTTTTTCTGTTATTGTCCTATTTGTATGCTATGCTATTTAAAAATATTTAGATCCTATATGATATAAAGAATTATCAAATGTATAATAATTAACAAATATTTTGAGTACATCATTACATAGAAATTTGTAATTGTTGCTTTTCAATTGTTTTCTAGTATTTTTCAGTACATTAAATGCATGTTGCATAATATTTTACTTCTGTTTATAAATAGATTCAATATTCCTAAACTGCTTAAAACACTAATTTTCTCACAATGCTTTAAAGGTATTATAAAATTATAACATCTCATATGTGCCTGCTGACTTGCAACAAATCTATTTATATGGAGGCAAGGTATTTACTTTAATTTCTAGTACTTTCATTTCCACATACTATCTCTTGTGTATCATACTAACATATAATCAAAATACAAAAAATTGTTTCTAAATGTAATTTAATATACATTTACAGACAATGCCGTCATTGGATTTCTCATTTAACAAGGATTTCGAACCGGAATTCAAATTCTACGATTCTGCATTACTTGAAGCTGTAAAAAGGAATAATGAAGATGTTCATAGTTTCTTTCGATTGTTGGCACTTTGTCATACAGTTATGCCAGAAGAAAAAAATGGCAAGCTAGAATATCAAGCACAGTCACCAGATGAATCTGCCCTTGTATCTGCTGCTAGGAACTTTGGTTTTGTATTTAAAGAAAGATCTCCAAATAGTATAACAATTGAAGTTATGGGAAAACGTGAAATATACGAATTACTTTGTATTTTGGACTTTAATAATGTTAGAAAAAGAATGTCTGTAATTTTGAGGAAGGATGGACATCTTAGACTATATTGTAAAGGAGCAGATAATGTTATTTATGAACGATTAAAAAAAGGCAGTGAAGATATCATGGCAAAAACATTGGAACATCTTAATAAATTTGCTGGTGAAGGCTTAAGAACACTGTGTCTTTCAGTTAGAGATCTAGATGAGCAATTTTTCAATGATTGGAAACAACGTCATCAAGAAGCTGCCATGAGTCAAGAAAATAGAGATGATAAACTAGATGCAATTTATGAAGAAATAGAAAAAGATATGACATTACTAGGTGCTACTGCTATTGAAGATAAATTGCAAGATGGAGTACCTCAAACTATCGCTAATTTAGGTTTGGCCGGTATTAAGATCTGGGTATTAACTGGTGATAAACAAGGTAAAAATATATTTATTTATACATTAATAAATTAATACATTTTATTAATTATTAATTAATAATTATTATTAATACATTAATAAATTTATTATTAATGCATTAATACATTTAAATAAATATTGTAAATAATATAAGTTATATATATAACTTATATATATATATATATAGAAATAATGTTATAATGTGAATAGATATTTATATTTTTTTATTTTTTGTACAGAAACAGCTATCAATATTGGCTATTCCTGTCAATTGTTAACAGACGATCTGACAGATGTTTTTATAGTAGATTCCACTACTTATGATGGTGTTGAAAATCAATTATCACGATATTTGGAAACTATCAAAACAACTTCAGGTCATCAAAATCGGCCAACTCTCTCCGTTGTCACATTCAGGTGGGATAAGGAAAGGTCAGGCACATGAAAGAGACGGAGTACCAATCATTAATCTTTTCCATATTTCAATAACTAATTGATGCATTTATTTTAAAAATTTCTCTTTTATATTTTGAATGTGGCATCATGTTTTGTGTAATGCTTTCTTCGTCTGGTTATGCTTAAGAATTTATAAATTACATTACTTTAAATTCAAATTCTTTATTTTCATCATTAAATTAAAACAATAAAATTCAAAGTTTAGAATTCAAAATGTTATAAAATATTGTATTATCAATAATATTTTTATTACTATAAATATAAATATTAAATATTTTTTAGCATGTAATAATTATAATATTACAAAAGAATTGATAAGTGGAACTGCACTATGTTATTTTAATTTATATATATATATAACAATATCAATTTTATCATATTTAAAATGAATTATTTTTTTATAAAGTATTTAACTCTACACAATATTTGCATGCAAATTTTAAAAAATATATATACATATATAAATATTTAAGTTCTATATTTTGTTAATTCTTTTCATTTATTTTATTATTATTAAAAACATGTTGGAAACATTTATTTCATGCTTGTCAATCAATTAGATTTATGACGTAGATTTAATCATATAGTAGATTAAGTACCAATATTTTTTTCTTAAATTCTTCTTAAATTTTTGTTTCATATTTTCTCGACATTTATGATTATGTATTAACATTAATGTCAAGTCAAAATGAATAATGATTATCATGTGCTTGAAACTCACTCCTTCTCTTTCTGTATGCTTAAAATTAATCTTAGTAATAATGATTATAATAAATAATAATAATAATAAGATAATAATAATAATAATAATAATAATAATAATAGTAATAATAATAATAACAACACAAAAGTATGTTGCTTATGTCATGTTATTATATTAGTAATCCATGATACAGTGCACTGTGTGTATTGTTTATGATTAATGCGCATCATTTTTATATTTAATAGAGCAAATTTTAAATTTCTTCTTTACGTTTTTTTTTATTCGATAAATAATTGAATATACATTTTCTCACTAAGTTCTAATTTATCAGTTCAATTAATTAAATAACTTAAAAAAATTTTTTGATTCTAAGAAAATATATTGTTAATAATATATTTAAGTTATATTTTATTTTAAGATCAATCTATTTTAATTAAATTTTATATTTTTCATATATAGCAGTGATACTGAATACAATCCTAGTAGAGATGAACAAGATGAACATGAAATGGAACAAGCAACAGGATTTGCAGTAGTTATTAATGGGCATTCTTTAGTTCATGCATTACATCCACAACTTGAGCAACTTTTTCTTGAGGTATCAAGCCAATGTAAGTTTACAAAATTTTTTAATATTTATATAAAAAAAAATTATTATTTTTATATTTTTATATTATGCACATAATTATTTCAACATTACATTATAAATTTTTAGGTAAAGCTGTGATATGTTGTCGCGTGACACCTTTACAAAAAGCAATGGTAGTCGAATTAATAAAGAAAAATAAAAATGCTGTGACTTTAGCAATTGGTGATGGGGCTAATGATGTCTCAATGATAAAAACAGCTCATATAGGTGTTGGTATTAGTGGACAAGAAGGATTACAAGCTGTATTAGCATCCGATTATTCAATAGGACAATTTAGGTTTTTGGAACGATTACTCCTTGTTCATGGCAGATGGTCATATTATAGAATGAGCAAATTTCTTAGATATTTTTTTTATAAGAATTTTGCGTTTACATTGTGCCACATTTGGTTTGCCTTTTTTTGTGGATTTAGTGCACAGGTATGAATTTATATTATTTATATTCTATTATATATTTATATGAAATTATATAATTCTGTAATATAATAATATATATAATAATAAAATGATGAACTTAAGGCGAATGTAATTTACGAAATTCCTTTGTTGAGCAATTAGTTCCAAAGTCGAATATTGGAAAAATGAACTAATTTTTAAATAATTCTGATTTTTCAGTATTTATAATAAAATCTCTATTTTTAAAAATAAACTTTATTCTTATGAAAAATTATATATATCTATTTACAGACTGTATTTGATCCTATGTATATTTCTGTTTACAATCTCTTTTATACATCATTACCTGTAATGGCAGTTGGTATATTTGATCAAGATGTTAATGATAAAAATAGTTTACTTTATCCAAAACTTTATGCACCTGGATTACAAAATTTACTCTTTAATAAAAAAGAATTTTGCTGGAGTGCCATACATGGTTTTTTTGCTAGTTGTGTATTATTTTTAGTTCCATATGGTAAGTTTAAATAATTTATTTTTCATTATATTATATTTAAAAATTAAACTATATTATAAATTATGAATATATAAATATGTCTTCAGGAACATATAAAGATGGAGTATCGCCAAAGGGCTATGTACTTTCTGATCATATGTTATTGGGAAGTGTTGTAGCTACTATATTAGTCATAGTTGTCACTGTTCAAATAGCCCTTGATACATCATATTGGACAATTGTTAATCATATTATGGTTTGGGGCTCACTCATTTGGTATTTCGTTTTAGATTATTTCTATAATTTTGTCATAGGTGGTAGTTATGTTGGCAGTCTTACAATGGTATGTTTTTCTTTTAATAATGTAGTAATAAAAATGAATGGAAAAATTAGATATAATATATGTATACAATTTTAGGCAATGTCTGAAGCAACGTTTTGGTTCACGGCAGTCATTTCGTGTATTATATTAGTAATACCTGTATTATCGTGGAGGTTCTTCTTCATCGATGTTAGACCAACACTATCTGATAGAGTTAGACTTAAACAAAGATTGGCACAACTTCGTTCTCGCCAAAGTCAAGATATACTTCGTACACCATCGACAAGACGAACACGACGATCTCTTCGTTCAGGATACGCTTTCGCGCATCAAGAAGGTTTTGGAAAACTCATTACATCAGGCAAAATTATGCGAAAATTACCAAATGGTGCAGATTTTAAATTCGCTATGCCATTTACGAACAATACTAGCAAACAAGTTAATGTTGCCACTACATCACCAAAGGATAATGCATCCAAAAATTCGCACACATTGGATACTATTAATCTATAATTTGGATATTCTATTGTAAGTCTTTCCATCATTAAATTTCGAATAATTATTTTGTAACATTAACATAAAAATATTATTAACATTTTTTCAAATGAATTGTTTATTTCAACATATTTTTTAAATACGATATTAGATCATAAAGCTTCATATTACATTTCTGTTTTTGTTACAAAAAGAAAAAAACATAAACAAAAATTATGTGTATCTGTATACATTGCAATAGCTAAAAAATATTTTCTGGCTTATTAGATTCAATTTTTTGTATCAATGCTTAAATTAAGTAATCGAAGTTCAAATGACAATAAAGTATTAATTGTTTGCATAAGAAAAATTTTACATATTAGTGTTTACTAAAAGTACTATTTCTTTTTTCATTAAAAATCATTTTAATGTGATGTATTATTTTATATGATCAATTATTCCAGACTCATATTAAAATTTTTATGCTTGAAATGGTATAATTTCTATATTTATATGTATATATATACTTTTTTTTGTTATTTTTAAAATTTATATATTTCTTTGTTTAATATTTTTTTAACGGCAGATTATGATTGACTTTTCTTAAATAGAAATAAGATTATATAGAGTATTTCGTTTAAGTGATTTTTATGAAAAATTAAAACTATCAAAAAAAATTTTTTTAATAAAAGTTGTTTGATTCAAAAAATGTCATGTTGTACAAACAATTTTTTTATGATTAGTAGTGAAGATGTCAGCATCAATTTCAGTTTTAAATAAAATCATATAATTTTGAATATATTAATCAATTTATTTAATCATTCTCTATAAAAAAGTATTAACTTATTTATGTCGAAAAATCATTGTACATATGATGTCTTTTCAAATTATTAAAAAACTTTTTTGATAATTTTAATTTCAAATAAAATATTCAATCATATTCAATTAACGAAATCTATATAATATTTTCATAAGTTTGCCAATCTTTAAAAATTGTATATCAAATAATTTATTATAATTTGCCTAAGTTTATATCATAAAGAGTCTGAAATAAAAAAAGATCTAAAATTCAAAAAATTCATGGAGCTATTAATAATGACCTCTGAAAAATTCTTAATTAGTTTATATTAAGAAAATGCACAGATTGATTTATGATTTTTTTTTACTTTTGGTAAAAAATAGTTAAATATTTGAAAAATTATTATAATATAAGGATTATTATTATTCACTTACTATCTATATTAATTATTTGGTCATTGAAATTAGTCAATTTACTGTTATTTCATAATATGTTAGTATGTTAATAGTAAAAATTTAATTAATTTAAGGAGGTCTATGATTGGTGTCATTTTGCACGTTATATTTGGAATATTTTTAAGCACATATTTCTAAATATAACATTTATAAGAATTATTTCTTAGAATGCGTTGAGATATTCTTTTAAATAAAAACATTTTATTTAAAAATTGATATCAGAATACAACGCAATAATAAAATAAATTATGATTTATATGATCATGACACTCAATATGTACATATGTAAAAGTGTCAAAAATCATGTAATATCCTTACTTGTATTATAATACTATCCTAGTATGAGAAAAAGAAACATAAAACATGTTTACACAATACATGTATTAAATAAGAATTATAGTTATGATAATAATTGCCTTTATAAAATATGAATACAAAAAACAATTAAAATTACTGTATCATAACATTGACTGTAAATATTTTAAAGAGATATATATATTA